ACAGGGGGGGCCCCCGACAATTGCGTAGGGCCCCATTCAAATAGCATGTGCCTAAGGCCCAATATAGAGCCCCCCCCCCCCCTCGAACGGTCGAATGTCCCCGAGCAGGTTATCAGATAGCCCTCCCCCACCCACAGACGCGTAGGCCCCCATTCAGAAAGGAAGTACCAAAAACCAGGTGTAGACAGTCCCAAACGACTGAGTGCGCCCAAGCAGGCCATTAGATGGGCCCCCGATAAGAGTGTAGGACCCTAAGCAAGTGACAGAGAATTGGAAACGCCTTAGACCAATGTAGAGCACCCATGGGCATATCGCAAGTGTGTCGGTGGGTTAACCGACACTCACGTAAAGGGTCGCTGGGCAACCGAGAGTACCCCGGCAGGTTAAGGTATGGGACTCTGGCTACCGCTCACAGAGCCTTTCTGGCGAATGGAAATAATCCGAGGAAGGGTCCGCAATTGACAAGAGTTCCTCGGCACGCTAACAGCAAGGGCCCCAACTACAGCGCAGGGCCCTCGGAACAAATGCAAAGAAATGAAGGACAATGTGGGATGCTCCTAAACGACCGAAATGAACCTGCAAGTGACATATAGTTTCCCGGAAACAGCATGGGGCCCTAGCCGGTGTAATGGGGCTTAAAATTTCCAGTTCGCAACTTTTCCAATCATTGAGTAATTTTTGCGACTTCTCAAAGGCCCTTCATGTTCGCTTACAACTGTTCTTGGTCGCCTGAAAGTCCAGAGATACCCAGTTTTGTTGCGTTTTGTGTTAAAAAAACTGCACCTGTTCGGCCGGTTGTCGGCCCCCCGCAGCCAATGGGCCCTTTCGTGGCCGGGGGGGGGGGGGGGGCATGCCCCGTGGCAACGCTCTCTGGACCCGCCCCTGCTTGCTACCGTATGTTTTGGGGGATACTTTTGTTATTTTCTACTTGTTTGCCCCTCCACGAACTCAGTTTGCCCTTGATGTCGGACTGTCTTGGAGTCACAGCCTTCAGACTCTGCTCCAGGTCAAGGCGTGGCTAGAGATGTCTTCTCCTCAGGACGTTCTAGCCAGAGCGCAGCTGGAGGTACCCGCCCCGTCTCCTCCGCAGACAGCTCCAGGCAGGGCGTGGCTACAGAGGCGCGCTCCGTTTTCTCCTCAGGAAGTTCTAGCCAGGGTGAGACCGAGGAGGGCCGCCAGGTCCCTTTCGCTGGCAGTTCCGAACAGGTCTCTTTTGGTGCTGGTCCTGTCTATGTCACAGATTGAGGCATGTGGAGGCGACTGGGGCATGTCGCCGAACTGGAACATCTGAAGGAACCTGCCAAGATCACCGAGAATAAGGGTCGACCGCGCGGAAGTACGGCAACGTCATCGGACTGCCAGAACTGAAACAGAGAACTCTGTAGACCTTCCCAGATCTGCTTTTCCACGAAAAGCAGAATGCTAAGTTACGCAGTTTCGCTGTTGATGTCCCAGCGCGCTTGCGATAACTGCGATGCGACGACTTACAATTGGGATATTACATGTCAAGTGATGGTTTACACCTCTCTTTCGCTCTCTATCGCTCTCTATCGCTTTATCGCTCTCTATCGCTCTCTGTTGCTCTCTATCGCTCTATTGCTCTTTCGCCTTCTCTCTCTCTCTCTCTCTCTCTCTCTCTCTCTCTCTCTCTCTCTCTCTCTCTCTCTCTCTCTCTCTCTCTCTCTCTCTCTCTCTCTCTCTCTCTCTCTCTCCTTCCTTCCTTCCTTCCTTCCTCCCTCCCTCCCTCCCTCCCTCCCTCCCGCCGCCCCCCTCCCTCCCTCCCTTCCTCCCTTTCTCTTCCTCCTTTCCTTTCTCCCTTCCCCTCTCTTTCTCTCTCTGCTTGTCAACAGTGAGTGTATTACCAACATTGCGGGCCAACCTGTGGCTTCGAGTTGACCGGCACTCGCCTGCGAGCTTAAAACATAGCTGCGCCTTCTTCAGCGTATAAGGGTTTGTTCTCCGGGACCTCCAGCGGACAGAAAAGTGCGACGAAGCACCTGGTGAAGGCGTTTGCAAATTGTCATGTCATCCCGACACCGTCCGGCACGAAGGCCCATTAATTCGACGGGAAACGGCCCATGTCACGATTCCTATGTACGCAATGCGTTTTGACTTCAAACGAGAAAGATTGAGCCGCGAAGAGCATAGAGGTCGCAACATAGTGCACTGTAACCGGCGTTGAGATGAAACACAGTCGCACTTTTCGTGATACTTTAGGCACCATGTACTTAAAGTATGCACGGGTCCGAGGTCCCGCATGTCGTCGATGATAATTCTCCCGTGTCATTCCCAAGGGCAACCTAATTTTGAGGTGAAAGCTATTGAAACAGAAGCCCGCGCACGCTGCATGTCAGTGCACTGATGCCTGAAAAGGATCAGAAACTAATGCTGCAACGCAGCGAGGAAATCTAGTTTCACAATTTTACATGGGTTACTGGCTTCGTATGTTTTACTCTTGGGTCATCTCTTCCACCGTAACGTTCACTTCTGCTATTATCTCGCGCGTTCCATAGCGCAAAATATATCTTACTGGCCCTTGTTGCAGCCATGCTACGCTGGATTCTCAAGAACTCATCGAATGAAGGCCTGTTCGGTGAAGGGGACGTACGGGCCTGGGATGTCATCCACCTCGGCAGGCTGAAAGCGAATCCAGATGTACTGCTATCTCTGGGACATTGCTTCACCCGATCTGCGTGGAAGATGCTCCTGGCCTGGGTGGACCAGTTCGATGAAGAATGTGATTGGTTGTGTGGTTGTGGGGAGGACCACCTCATTGGTGCCGCCGTGCAATGTGGTGTGTGTGAAATGTGGTTCAGCACGCGCTGTTCTGTTGGTCATGTTATGGGTATGGGTGCATGTATCTGTTCACTGGACATAAGTAAAAGACCTGGTCACAGCATTTCTTTTCTACACAGCATGCACAGTTCTCACTATTGGTGGCTTAGGGCACCAATGCATGTCCAATGTCTATTCACAGCAGCACAGTCTTGTGACAGTTCTTCTCACTGTAAAGACTGCAGACACCCCTCTTTCCACACCTCCCTCTTGGGTACCTGTTTCTGACAATTTCATTGCAGGTCCCTGGCATATCTAAGCAAAAAAATTAGAGTGCTATAGTTATCATCAGGTTTCAAATGAAGAGCTAGGCCTTTATGATACCCTTGATATAATTAGACTCATACAGCAAGTTACAATGCTTGTACCACAAAGCATGCAATGGAGCAGCTACAAAAAATGTCATATCTGATCACTTTCATGGAAATTATATATCCATCACATAATGTGCTTACATGCACTCATATACCTAGGGATGATGATGCAATCATGAAAAATTGACCTCACATGGTATTCAGTCCCCAAAACAACCATAATATGTGATCAGATGAGACTGCAACCTAAGCCTATACATAAATATTTGCAGCATTATGTTTGCTAGCTGTCATTTGTACTGCTCATATCTCATGCCTCAAAATGATCTCAAACAAAAAATAAAAAAGAGGCCAGTTATGAAGCTTGGACCACAAAGCATGCAATGGAACAGCTACAAAAAGTGTCATATCTGATCACTTTCATGGAAATTATATATCCATCACATAATGTGCTTACATGCACTCATATACCTAAGGATGATGGTGTGATGATGAAAAATTCATGTGACATGGGGTTCAGTCCCCAAAACAACCAAAATGTGTAATCAGATGAGATTGCAACCTAGTCCTACACATAAATATTCATGGCATTATGTTTGCTAGCTGTCATTTGTACTGCTCATGTATCATGCCTCAAAATGATTTCAAACAAAAAATGAAAAAAGAGGCTAGTTACCTGAGCAGTGTCTGGATTAATTGAAGAGATGCATCAGCTTTACAACATGTAATAACAACGATGCGGTATATTTTGTACCACCAGGTTCATACATGTCCTCAAAACTGCAGCTATAGAAACACAACACACACAAGCATAGTGCAAGACAGCAGGCAAAGTACTCAACGCCCTGCAACTAGCGGCCCAATGCCGCCTTACACTAAAATCATGGAGAAAAACCTGTGCCTTTAACATTAACATCAGGTTACCAAACGGCTACCGCACACAGGAACAGCACCGTGTACAATACACTTCCTTAGCTTTCGTGCATAACACACAAAAGCCCCAAACACACCATAATTTCAGGCACAACCCTATACACGCGGCTCGGCGGGTCGCAATCAACTCGTGAGTGGGTTATATTTCCAAACGGCAAAGCGGAACATGTTGAAACACTGCCGTAATTCACTGCGCTGCAATACCACAGTGATCGTTTGACGTTTATCACGCATAGAACCGACCTCTCGCACGGGACTCTGCATTTTTGCACTCCGTGCCTCCAAGGCTGCCAATGCGCGTATTATTGACACGTACAACCATCTGAAAGATTTTTGGAGGGTGTATAAGCCCGGTGCGTAACCGCCCTCCGTTTTGGAGGGTGTATAAGCCCGGTGCGTAACCGCCCTACGTTTTGGAGGGTGTATACGCACAGCCTTAAAATTTTGGCTGTGCCTCTGGGAGCCCGCTCATGATGCGAAGACTCTACGCTGCCTCTGTAAATGCGTGCACGAAATAATCCTTAAACATATGTTTGCACTTACAAAGAATTGTGCACAGGGAAAAACGTCTAAGGAGTTTTGTGTAAAGCAACTTGTAGGCTACGAATAGTTCATGAGAAGTTTCGAGCTTACAAATATTGAGATTTCAGGCACAACGACGTTACAAAAAACAATGCCATACGAAAACATGCAGAATTAATTCTTGTAGCTCGAAAATTTATGGAAATACGATCCACACAAAGATTCCGTCCTAGATCTCATGTTTTGTACTTGATTGAACATTATGAAACCAGGAACAGCTTACGCTTAGGCATTGTGCGCACATCTTGCAGTAAGTTACGGGCTTACACGGTCGCTCCTCCAAACCGCTTCAATTATGGCGACACCGTGTGGATTATAAACGCGAACCCGAGCAGCGAGAAATCGTGCGGGCGTGCGGGGGAATCGGTGCGTTCGTTTTTCTTTCAGTTAGGACATCCGCAAGCCACGGGACTGAGCAGGTTAGATGCATGTGTGTGTGATTTAACATGGTTTGAAAGGCACTTTTTGTCGTTGCTGTTAATTGCTGTGTCGTGGCAGTGGCGTGTGTTAATGTGAGTTTCGGGTTGCGACGTGCGTAGGCTGTGATTGCGAATTATGTTAGTTCGTAAACCAAGGTATAGTGACCTAAAAACTGTATTCCGTTGGTTTTCTCTCGCGATAAGTACCACACCCATTTTGTTTGCTTCTCCAGCCCAGTTGAATGCCGAACAGGCGATACCTTGTGGGAGCATTTTCAGCCATGTACGTTAAAGACTAGGTTTGTGTGTCAACCTGCTTCCTTACCAAATGTAGACACTTTATAAGTATGCATGTTGCATAATTGTGATAAATGCAAATTTTGGGTACATATGTATACTAATGTAAGAGAATATTATGTTCATGGTGAGAAACTGTGTGCCTGTGGTGTACTAAATCCACTTTCCAGCAAAAGCAAATTGAGTTTTGCCTATCCTTCATTGTAAAATTAGCTTACACCCCTGCACATTATGCTTGATGCAGTGGGGTGAGAGAAAGGGGAATTTTCCTTGCATAAGTAGTACATAACCACAGGAAGGAAGGTTCTAAAGTAGCCTGTCAGTTTTACATGTGCAAAATAATTTGTAGATCGTCTCTGTGCAGACACTCCATAAGATGCATTCAGGGCTTACACAGGATTTCACAATGAAGTGGGGCTGATTTATTTTCAACATACAAAATTCTGTATTCAGTTATTTACTGCCAGCTGGTAATAAACTCTGAAGACAAAGGGCTGTTATTTGTATGTAAACATGAAATGCTGATACCGTGGTGGGTGTGCGATTGCAATGTAATTTTCATTCCAGCGTAGCAGCTAATGAAAGCTTAGCAATACCACAGCATTATCAAAATAATCCTTGTTTGCTTAGACTGGTAAGTGGTTTATCAACATCAAATGATAGTTCTGTAATTCTGCCTTACTGCATAACTTACAAGCTGGGTATGCAGTACTATTCAAAACCCTGATGTTATTGCTGATAATGTCTATTTCTAAGAGGCATTAAGTTTTCAGCTGCATCTGCTCCTAATTAAAACAGAACATGACCATAAATAGCCATTTGGGATGCAATGTGGCCTTTGATGTTGGTGTGCCATAAAACCCAAATCATCATTATCATCTGCACTGTTAATAGATATGCAGCTCACTATGCAAATAGTGGTGAGCAATATACAATATGATCCCCTCCCCTGCTTGGAGGTATGATGTTACATGTTATTTCCAACTCAGAAAATTGGTATGATTGAAAGGGTGCATTTAAACATGCTACCTCTGTGGCATGAATCATTCTGAACACAAGGCATATGCTCCAGATTCTGCTCCATAATATCCCACACCATTGACCATTAATGACTAATGTGCCTAACACTGTGAAATCTGCATGTTTGCCTCCTACCCCCCAGCCACCATGCACATTGTTTTCAGCCAATCAGCATGCATCCTGCTCTTCATTTCATTTGGTTAGTTTGGTTACATTTTACAGAAATAAGGCTTTTGCATTGTTGACAGCTTAAGCTGCTTTTGAAGTTAATGGGTTGGAAATTATGTCTCTACCATTTGAGTTGTGCCAATATCTTCCAACAGAAGTTTCATCCGGCTGGTTTTGACCACTGAAAATGGCTGTTTGCTGGCAACCATTATTTAAACTGCCATTTGGTGTGGTTTGAACTGTGAAAGTGCTTTTGGGGGATTTGGTGTAACAATGATGAAAACTGGAATTGTTTCGGTCAGTCTTGGTCCTATCATAGACAGTCAGCTAGGTAATAAAGGTGTATACTGGCTTTGATGCTGTCCGTCATAGTCCTACCACAGCTCTGAATGACCTTTCTAGGTAATTTGCTACCACTCACCTGGAACCTGGACCCCTTGTGCATCCTGACAGTGATCTGCAAGTCCAGCTTGTATGGCTTGGGGCAGCTTTATACCCAGTAACAACTTATACTACATGGTTGATCTTGAGTGAGATAGGATCAAGAAGGCACTGATATTTAAAAGAGGGCTTGAGAAGAGGGCTTATGCATTGCTCATAATTGTATGCTACTCTTGATGTTGACCTATTGCTGCTCCCAGTCATGGCTCGTGGTCAGCAGAAGATCCAGTCACAACAGAAGGCTCAGGCTAAAGGTGCAGCTCTGAAGAAACAGGCTGGTCACAATCTGAAAGATCAGAAGAAAGCTGCAGCTGCTGGCTTGTCATTTAACTGTGACATTTGTAAGGTATGTGCTACTGGTTTCTTGGTGGATCATGCTCTTCCTTTTTGGCTCACTTTCTTGGTCTACAGTCATGTTGTGTGTCTCGTTTCATGTCTTGACTACATATTAATGAACATAATCTTTATTTACCCATGGCATTCTTAAGCATGTGAGAATTATGCACTCACGACTGGTTCCATGACAGGCGTAGAATTGATTGGTCATCTGCAATCGCATCTGCACTCCTCATCATCCATAAATGTGTATGTTTTCAGTCTCAAATGCCAGACCCAAAGACCTACAAACAGCACTTCGAGAGCAAGCATCCGAAGAGCCCTCTTCCAGAGGCACTCAAGGATATATAGTGTGACAGCCTCACCAGCTGAGCTGTGACACCAGACAGCGCTGGTGTGACTGCTGGTGGTACTAACGAACATGGAGCGGTTTTCCCGCGCCGCTTGTTGCGTTCCGGGTATGTGATGGTTAGTGACATCTCAGACGCCAGTCACTTGCTATCACTTGTCATTGATGTTATAACTCACACGCGGCTGGTTTAGTGTGTTTCCATTGGGCGTTCGTGATAAGCCTTTAGGCACTCACTGGCGGAAATGTGTGAAGTTTGGGTCCAAAAGATGTCCGCGGGACACGTGGTGTTTCCAGGAACACTGGTACGCTTGGTCGCCGCGTGCTGTCCAAGGATGCAGCGCTGGGTTGACAGTGTTTATACTAATATGATTTGTGCGCTCGGTAGGTAAACGGAGAGGTTCGTGTTGATCTGGTGCACGGTGCGGCAATGCCTGGGCGTCGATAGCTTGGATTTCACTTTTCCTCGCTAACAGCCTGCTGACGTGTGGTTGACGTTGCCCTGTGTTCAGTGTCTACCCGTGTGTGCCACGGTTTGCGGCCACTCGTGTGCGGTTGTTCTTTACACTTGTAGGCCCAGATTTTAAGGATTTGGGAAATAAACATGGTGACCGGTTTGAGGGTCTAAAACGTTAAATCGAGCATACCTTAGCTCATCTATGACATGGCTTTTGAGTGTGGCTTCCTTAACACGCGCGCGGTAATCCTCTTCAGGCAGCATGCAGGCATGCTGCATTACTTGAGATGGTCCTGCATGCGGCCATCGCCGTTTGCGAATATATGGTGCCAACGCAAAGGAGTTATGTTCATGATATTTCCCCCGTTTTACCCTTTTGCGAATTAATGACATGGTCGATTGTGGGGACCGACTAAAGTACCTGGTTTTATGCGACATCGGATGGATTTGGTTTTAGTTTTATAGCGCCCAACAAGTGCTCAACTTACGTTTTAAAAATCATTGGCCGGGTACGCGCGGCAGTTGAAAGGTACTCACAAGGTGATGCTAAGAGCGATGGTATCAGGCTAAGATTGAAAGCACTATACAAATTGGTGGACCAAATGAGCTCTAATCATCACTTCCTTTCATGACCGTGTCCCGGGTACATTTGAGCTAGTGTTTAGCAGCAAATTAAATTTGGCGCAAAGACGTTTCGCTCCTGTTCGGAGCAAAACCCAAATGCTACCAACTGAAATGTTCCTCAGCCTTCGTGCTAGAGTATGCCGAAAACTCGACCTCTGAGTGAGCCCACTAAGTTATCTGAATTACGAGGGATTCTGCTTTTTGCCTGCCTGCTCAGTGGAGCACGTGAAGGCACGCCAGGCAGGGGGCAGCTCGCGATCGAGCACCATTAGCAACGCATTCATTTGTTACGTAAGCTCTTTAAGGCAATACGGTGCAGGCAAGCAAAAGAGCTCATGGCGCATCGCTGATCAAAATTATTTTGCGAATACATAATCTTGAAAATCCTGCGGCACGTTTTCTCCTCTAAGTTGCCTTAAATCCAACACAAAGTTATCGATGAAATAGCAAATGGCCGGGGATCTAAGTGTACCGCCGGGGAGTCTGCGATTTCTCCACGGGCTCTCATGTGACAGGCGCAGGCGCCAAGTGTCCAGCTGGCGGAGCGTGCCATGCCAATCGTGTCCCAAATTCGACTGAATGCCAAATGAATAGATGCTTCCCTACGAGGGGTCGACTTATTTAAAGGGCTGCCCATGATTGGTTGTCCTAACGCGTTTCCCTGGACGAGTACACGGGTAAGCGTGAAAGACGCACTCGCACATTGAAAAGACAAAATAAGTGTTGTGGCCCGCAGCGGGCAAGTAAGCCGCGCATCACACTTAGGCGGACTAGGCGGACACGCCCAAGGCGCGGGCGCCTTAGTGCCCAACTTTCGGCACGTATCCAGGTCATGCTTGATGCAGGCTAAACCGAATAGCGAAGTGAGTACAAGAAGAGTACTTTGCTAGAATGTTGTGGTATGCCTGTTATGAAAGGGTTCGAGCATATTTCGACAGGTGTGTAGGTGATTATATCTTATTTTAGGTTACGTAACGGGTTGCAAGGCGTCATAAGGAACGATGCTTTATCATGATCTAAGTTTATGAAATACTTGATGATGATGATGATGAGATGGGCTCTGAAAATTGGTCAGGCAGCCGCAAGGGAAAACCGCCACCGCATCTTCATATTAAAACGTAAGAAAGCTCATTGTCCAAAAGTTACTGGCTGATTTCGAATTTGTGTGGACAATAGCATTCCACGCGCATGGACAACTGTCTGGCCAAACGTCATGAGCACTCAGGATCATCCCTCATGGTCGAAGGTGATGTTAAATGATGAGAAGCTTCCCTTTAGCCAAAGTTCACGGCTGATTTCGGACTGCTAAGCAACGTAATTGTCTTCAGCGCTTAACTAGCGGTTTTGGTAAGTCCATGTCTTTTAACATCAAGTTTCCAGGTCAAATTTCACGTCAAGTGATGGGCGCCCCACTTTATTCACTACTTACCGGCGTATTTGGCACTTCCAGGGCATCAACATCTTCAAAAGTGAAATTTAGTGCCCGTGGAAATGGCCTTACCTCTCGAAGTCAAGGGTCAGCCGGGGAACTTTTTATTGAAATGGAGTTCCCCACCATTTGGTTTTAAATGAGTATCGGGTGTTGACCATGAGGGCTGCAGGCCTTATGGAAGACTCGAGTTTATGTGCTGGATAATATTGTTTGCGCTTTATCCAAAATCGGCCGATGGCTTTTCGATAATGCTTACTTCCAGTTTTTTTGTCTTTACTTTCAATTTGCCCATGACGCCTACTTCAAGAACCAGAGGTCACACCGTGTGTTCTGACTGTGTCCTAACTGTACTGGACTGCCTTAGGTGGTTTCAAGGTAATCAGAGCTTGCTACTAAATAAATCGTGAAATAGGTCGCTAGCTTGATGTTCGTCTCTGAGAAGCCATGAATTTTCCCCAGGACGTTAGTATCAATCCTAAAAAATTATGATTATTTAAAAATATTAAATTGCTGCAAAGACTTAGTGACTGAGCATGTCTGTTCTTTGACCTGCAATAAGACAGAAAAGCTAGCCTTCAGAGATTATGGCGGGTCAACGCACACGAGTTTATGTGCTGTATAAGATAACAATACTCCGGCATCAGAAATAAATCATGAGCTTCTCAGGAGTGACAAGTTCGCTGTTATTTCCTCTCAAATTGGAACTGAAAGTCAAACTTGCAGACGACAACTCTTCAAAAGACGCAATTTATGCGCCGACAATGGTGGCGTTAATTTAAAATCTGAAATGGGTCTATCTTTTTGTTGATTTGTGTTTTCCGTTCAGTTGACATTTAGTTTTGCTTTTTAACTGATATATCAATAAATAGATGCAACTTGGTTTCGGGATGGTCCTTCCGACAAGTCGGTTGCGATGCCTATCGTTGATCCCAATGGCTCAGTTGTTTAGAAATCTCGCGTTCCGATCCACCCGCTTGAAGCGGGTTTGGATGGGTTCGACTCGCTGTTGGTGCTCGTTATTTGCACTAGCTGGAATGGCCCGCGACCAGCGCCAGTGACCGTGCCAACAGCTAGATGACGACAGAGTACGGGAAGGACCGCGCAAAGCATTGCGGTACATTAAGCTTTCACGGCAAAAATGGACTACATAACATAAATCCAACAAACGTGGACTACATAAATCCATCCAATCAAAAGGTTGGGACTAAATATAAACGATGTCATCTATGTGAGAGCGCAGGATGGACACACATTCATATGGGATTTTGAACTGAAATAGCCATCTTGGAGACCTTTCGGTGCTGTTCACAATCCTGCCCTTCTTGAGACCTAAGCGCCTCTAGTTTCTGAGCTACACGCTTATGCAATGGGGAAAAGTATATGAGGGAAAGAACCTTTATATGGGAGAGCAAGGCAGCCCATGCTTCATGTTTTGACAATGGGAAACTGGCTTCTATCTATCCGCATGCGTAGTATTCGCACGTTGCTGGTTTAAATATCAAGATTTGCCTATCGACCTACTCGATAGGATATCGTTCTCATTCGTCTTTATGATATGACATGAAAACGAACACTATCCGGCATTAACACCACAGTTATAACAACACCACCCAACACCACCCAAATTATAAATGTTTGTTATCCCTGGAATGCCCCTGGGCAGGTGATGCTAGGCCACTTCGAGACAACAGAAATACTACTAAAGGTATGATCTATGGACGTCAACACAGGTATTTAGGAGATGTCCTATTCGTTTGAGCCCGCGCGATATTGTAATGAATCCCTTGTCATAATGGGTTCAAAAATGTTGGGTCAGGTCACTGGAGAATGAACTTCTAAATAGGTCAGCCTAGACAGACTGTTGCTAGGTCACTATGAGCATATGTAGGTTGATTTTCTGAAAATTTGTAGAGGGCTCAGTGCAAAAATGGCCAAACCTACCGCCAAGATACACAACAAAAAAGGTCTCTCCCCGAATTTGACTCGTTTTCCCCTCAAAGCCGGAGCACCCCTCCCCCAAATAAATGGAAAACTATACCCCCTATTTTACGCCACAAAGCTTTATCTTTTTATTTATCGGGCCAGACTGTCCATGACCTTGGGTGGTTTCTTCCTGGTGATTTCCTGGATACGCTAGTGCCAATAGCGCTGTTGCTATCGTCCCTTCTGGCGTGCCGGGGTTCGCCTAGCGTTAATCACCGACAGCAACGGCCTGGCCTGGTATGGGACTACGCGACTGATGCGCGCAACAATACTTCATCTATCGCTGAATCGTTCTTACCTACGCTTGTGAGAAGTATCCAAATTTTGCACTTGTACATTCGGATTTCCTTTCGAATACACAATAGCTTTGCTTTGCACTTCTTGGGTCGGTTTTTCACCCCACTCTAATGTGAATCCCTGAGAAAACTCGTAAGTGGGAATAAATCACAACTGTGGCTAGTAACACGCATTTTTGAGTGCTCTTTTTCCCTAGCGGAGTTTGGAAACTAAAATTGCAGTGTAAATGCCATATGTTTAAGAGCAAAATTTCAAACCTCTTTTAACGAACGTTCCACTTGTGAGATGACGCCAGCCCAGGCACAAATCCAACCGGCTGTTGTTCTTATTCAGCGCCCCACGTTTAACAGATGGACGATGTGCAGCACATATAGCTGATGAGGCTCTTCGTGAGCACACTACAACGGTGAAAATCACAGCTTAGTAGAAAAAACAATGACGCGCCATGTCATATGTTGCAAGTAATTTGGACAGCGTGTCCAGTCAAGTGACCTTGCATGCACCAGCGGTATGCTTAGTGTAAGCTTCTGAGGCGATTTGTGAATAGCATTGCAATAAAAAAACCATGAAATCTATCTAAGCTCCCTGAAAGCAATCTCAGAATCATTAATCATGTAATTTTACTACACTTTTTATGATTGTTTGATTGTTTGTTGACGCACGTAAGTATTCAAGAACATTACACTAATCAGATGCCGCATGCCCTTTATGGCACTGTGCCAGCGACGTATACGAGACACGTGTTGATATCACCTAAATCAAGCTGTTGATTATGGTTGCAAAATTGTGTTATAGGTTGAGGCCCCGTTCGATCTGTGGTCAGC